ACCTTAAAATCGGTCTTCAAAATGCACGGGCCAGGAACATAGTCATGAACTGACGGCTCCACCGGCGCCTTATCATCAGACGGCCGTGAGAAAGAAGCTTTCTCCTTCCGAGGTACGGTTTTGGAAGTTTTCACTATTGATATAAAAGGAAAGAGTGCATAGGAAGATAAAGAAATAGACTGCACCAAAATTCTGGTATGGACGGCCCTGTAGCAGCGAAGTATAGAGGATAAATAAGAAAGTTTGGAAAAAGAGAAGGCGCAAAAGTGGTAAAGGTTGTATGGAAAGACTATTTATAGACTAAGGCATGACGGTTCGGTATCAGTTGTGGCCGACCACCATCTGACACACATTAAATGCCTCGGTAAAACTGAGCCGATGGGACATCTATCATATACGTCAAGATCGGGTTCGATAGAAACGTCAGCATAAATTTGATCGAGCCGCAGGGAAATCATATCGTTCCTCGCCACATCCTTTCCGAGAAACGAGGGGACTATCTATGTACAGTCAAAACCGATTCTCAATCATAAAGACCGGTCGAGACAATGACGTTTCAATCGAAAGGTATCCACATGACAAGCTCGGACGAATTTCGAAGTAGGGACGTCGAGCTTCGCGCTATAAACGGCAAAACTCGATATCATTATCGAGCCCGTGTTCGAATCGAACTACGGGGCAACACCGATCGATACGGGCCCCGAATATCGATGCCCAAGGCAGAACTGAACTCGAACCAAGACTGGGGGTTCGACCTAACACCGAGCTCGAGCCAGTGCCAAGCTCGCAGACAAGAGCCGTTACAACCGCACCGAGGGAGAGAATCTTGACGAGAATCAAGGAAGAGACAAATCATCATGGGTCCTCCACTATATGCATTATTTTATTATGTTGTTATAGATAAAGCAGCTATCCTCTACTATAAAAAGGGATAGACTGCAATAGAGGCAAGTTCTCCAAGATACATTAAGATTTCATTGTGCTTGTTTTTCTAATTCATTTCAGTCTTCCCGTCCATCATTCTCATTTTATAGCAAAAATACTTGTATTGTCATTTTGTATCAAAGGGATTCGCATACCCTTAGAACCATATCTAAATTTAACGTTATCCGATTTTTCGGGTAAACAACAACTAAGGATCATGCAAAGTTACCTAAATTGTATATTCTCTTCGTAGTACAAACACAGTAACATTATTTAATTATGATTACCAGGTAGCATCAATTATTTGAACTAAAATTTGGAACGAATTAAAAAGAAAAGTAGGTTTTGAGATGAAGGAATTTGATACCTGGCGATTTAGAGTGGTGGGATCATGACGACTCCAAAAGAGAGAAAGCAGATTGGTATATGGGCAGACATTCGGGTCAAACTGGATCCGAATCACCTCTGCATGGTCGGTGGTACCGGAGCAAACGAGCTTGTAATTTGGGTCGTGGACATGGCCCTGAGAGTAGCCTACCTCCGTCTTCACTACTCCTTCGACCCTCTGGAATGCCAATTCCACTCCCCAGAAGCAGCCTGCTGCAAACTGGGCAAATACCAGACCCGGATTATCCGGGTTGTTCAGATCCGGATCCAGTGCTGGGTTGGTTGACCTGCTGCTACCCTCTTCTTTAGAAGCCATTGCTCAATTGTCTTGTTCCTCGTATCTTTAAAACATTAGACATTTGTTTATATAGATAAGACATTAAACTGAACCTGGTCATATAGTCAGTTTAGATGCATTATTATATTACCCGTTTAAATTTCCTTTGAAATTTTTTTTATATACAACTTGCAATTTTCATTCATCTTAAATCGGTTGACCGAGAGCATAAATTTAAGTTTAGTAAATAGGACTATATGTCACTTAACTAGGATATAACTTGTTTTAGAAAATTTCACAAATATAATTTATTACAACTTTCTAAGTTTTTAATTAGATTATTAAGTTCATAAACTCCGAAAATTGCTCCCCTAAACATGGGATAATGGTACAAACAAATTATTAAGTGGTCAGTTACAAATTATCTAATTTTTTTAGACTCCTATAATATCTCAACCATCACTGTATTAATCATTAATCTATATTATTATAAAAATATGAATACAATGTCGGTTTATAAAAATAATTTTATAATATTAAATATAATAATTCATAATAAAATGACATAACCGAAATTCTAGATATTAACTTTATAATCCTATTAGGTTTAGGACATAATACTATATGTTAGGAATCCTACATGATTACCTTTAGAAATCATATTAGTATAATTACTTTCGGGTTGTCTAATTCGTATAAAATTGAACAAGTAAATATCTTTAGTAATGTTATCCTATTATTTTTAGGATATACTTCTTAAAAATTTCTATTACTAATTTAATTTGAAAACGTATTATAATATCCTATTACAAATTTAATTTGAGAATGTATTACATTGTCCAAATTCATTTAGAAAAAGGAGAGCCTATATTACTATAAAAGCATAAATACAATATTAATATACCAAAATAGCCCTAAAATATTAAACAGAAGAACTCATAGGGAAAGAACATAACTGCAATAACCTATTTTTTGGACTACAATATCTTCTATCTAATTTTAATATTTATGTTTTTAAAATTAATAAAATTTGTCTATTAAATTCTTATTAAAAATATGTAGGAAGGTTTAATAAAATCAATTTCATAAGAATTCTCCGTATTGGCAATATATCACCACTTCATAATGTCTAATACCAAGAAAAATAAAAGTAATATTAAATGGGATGCATAAAGAGTTGAAATTGAGAAAAAGAATACCCCCACGATAATATATTTTTATATTATTTGAACTATTTTCCTACTCAAATAATATTTTTAATCAATTTTTCGTGTAATATTAAAAAATACCCAATTATTAAACAACAACTAAGAAAATATTTACGAATATAAATGTGTGAGAAAGAGAAAACAATGGTTGGTAAGAGTCAATACAACTAATGATTCTACAGACATAAAGATCTAAAAGTGAAATGTCATATCAATCTTTTACTCTTTGAAAATAAAATTTATGGTGGATAAAATTATAATTAAGATTAAATATTCAAAACAAGAGATGAACTAATATTAAGATCTGAATCAACATAGAATAAATTATTTTTTATGTTAAAACCAAATAATTAAATCTTTTAATTAATTATTTAGCAAGAGAATCCAATTCATTTATTTTTTAAATTTATCATATGAGTAAAATTCTTATTCAAGTTAAAAAATAATCTTAGGGTACATAAATTCATTCCATAAAACAGCGTTAGAATACAAAGTAAAAATGTTAGTATATTATTAAGAATCAAATATAAGTGTTTGAGGAAGCATAATCAAAGTTAAATCCTAAACAAGAACAAACTTTTAAGACTATATTATAAAGAGTCGACTCTACTATAACGGAATTATTCTTTGTAGATGCCTCCGGCGGAATCGAAATAATATTTCTATGTCATGCATTACTTGTAAATATTATATCAAGAGGCATGAAATTATTAGCAATAATAGCAAGTGGTGTACCAACAACAATTTTATTGTGAGGCCGCCCGCTTTAGATTAGATATGCCTTTTCAAATAACTTAAAAAGCCATCACAAATATATCAAAGCAGAGCAATGGTGCTGAATTTATAAGGAAAGCATAATATGGGATGAAACACTTATGGCCAAATGTCAAACGATCGAAATAATTGCCCGGAGTTCTAGAGATATATTGGATATTAATAAATTGTTTGGTGAAAAATTAATGGTTTGGGAGGTAATTTATGTCAAGTACTACCAGTAGTTCCAAAATTGACAAAAGCAGAGACTGTAAAAGCTAGCTTGCCAAAGTTATACTTCTGGCCTCAAATTAAAAAGATTCAACTCACAAGAAATATAAAGTAAGAACAGATCCAGTATTCAGTGCCTTCTTGCTTCATGTCGGAAAGGAAGAAGAATATCCAATAAAAGATGATTTGGTTCTTCATGAATACTTGGTTATCAATCCCAATGGTAATAGTAGTGCATTTAATAAGAGAAATATTTATATCATTAGATTAAAACGCAATTTGCGCAAATCGCATGATATAATTAAAAAGATATCTTAGCTAGCAGAAATGAAAATGTTGATCAACTAAAAAAAGATTTATTGCAAAATTGTATAGTAAAAAAAATATTTTTCTGTTTTTGACTCAACTAAAAAAGATACCAATAATTGCTATCAAGAAGAATAGTTAAATACTTTAATACCAAATGGCCTTCTACCATATATGTTTGTTGTCAAGTTTATTATTTCTTACGTATGTTAGTGTCACCGTATATATAATAGACTAAGTTAAAATTGATCTTCCATTGTATATAGGTTGATTTTGAAGAATATATGCCCGTCATGCTACTGAAAAATTTAAATACGCCGAATAGCCTATGTAATAACACACATGTGGTATATAGAAGTTTTGACAATAACGTCATACATGCAAAAATTATGATACCGGTCAATGTGCTTTTAAGTATATTCTTATCCCTGAATTCAACTTTCTTCTTTCGAAACTAAGGAATATCCTTTTAAATTAGTGTGAAAATAATTTTTAGTATGTTTATGTTTTGCAAATATAATAAATAAAGAACAAGGACAAACATCCTAAATATTGGACTATATTTACCGTAGTATGTTTTCTTGCACGAACAACTGTATGTTGCACTTTCAAGAGGGATATCAAGATCGACAACAAGAGTTCTGGATAAGGCAGAGCAACCAAAGCATTAGGAGGAAACATACACAAAAAAATATTGTCCACAAAGAAGGGTTCGTTAAGATACCATTACATTAAATACTTTTAAACTATAATACATAATTATCTAACTAACATGACAAAATTGATCATTTGTCTAAGTTTTGATGATGTCCTTTTATTTTAAATTCATGTATTATGCTAATGTAATAATATTTTTCGGCATTTAGATGATTGTTATATTATTATACATAAAATTTCTCTCATTAATTAAATTTTATTGTTCGTTCATATAAATAAATATTTTAATCATCACGTGCCATTATGCACGTTCATAGATACTAGGTAAAGGCTATCAATGCATGCCTGTTACGCGGCGCCTTCCTGAAGTTCCTTGGAAGGGCGACGTAAGGCTAAGCAACCGATGTCAGTGCGGTTGCTATGCGCCAACTGAGGCCCTCGCCGTACGCTAGACTAGACTGTCAGTGCCGTACGGGAAAGCCAATGTCGTGAGCAATTGAGCAGCAGAAAATGAGCAACTGATGATGAAAGCTGATGATTATATTGATGATGATGAAAGCTATTACAAGATGAAATGCGGTATCGGAGGGGAGAGACACCAGTACAGAGAATTGTTTGGATGCTTGAATGTTTGAATGCTTTGGTCCCCCTTAATAATGCTTAAAAAAAATAAATCAAAGTTACATGAGTTGACCTAAGAAAGCTGTAGAAGCACACTGAAAATGAATGAAGTAAAACTACTCTATAATTACAATGAAAAGGACTTAGTCTTCTATGGAAGCAAGTCCGATGGCTGCAACTTTGTCTTGAGCAGCAGGATCTGCGCGCGTATTGCTGTGGGCGCGTGCGGCACTATTTGGATCTGCCAGCAGCTGGGCGCTGGTGCTTGGCATTGGATCTGCGCGCGGGGCACTGTCTGGGTGTGCGGCGCTGATGGCAACAGGATGATTTGTGCGCGCGACATTGTCGGTACGCGCGGCACTGATGGCATTGGCCAGCCGCTGGGCGCTGGCATTGATTATCGGTGGGGCGACA